TAGCCACACCAAAGAAAATAGAAAACGAAGACGAGAAAGTCTCTGCCGTACTGTAACACCACTAGTCTTCCCTTTCATGAAATCTAAAACTATTCTTATGAGACTCCGGTACACAGGAAACTGTTGTTAAATTCTCACGACCTTTGTACTTCGAAACTTCATAAGGAATCACAAGGAAATATTAAATTCAGTCCAGCAGTATATCAATACATTATCTAAAATTCAAACCAACTACATGGAGTTCATAAAAGGCCAAGACCTTTTTAACAGTAGAGAAATAAGTTTTGATTACCGAACAAAATATTCCGTTGACGACAAAATAAGTTCACAGGAGCAAACTATTCAGATTCACGGGACACTGAGCTGTCTGGCACCGAGGGACTGAACAGTCACCTCCCAGTAGGTTTTGATTGCGAATCCTGTTCGTGTTTATAATTAAACATTAACAACTGCTTGCTTTTTCCCACTATGGAACACTACCTCTCTTGCGCCTTACGGTTGGTGGATCACACTTTAATTTACTTTCAATAAGATAACAGTCAATAAGAAATTTGAATGAGTGGTGAAACAATTATTCTTGTCATAAACTGCAAAATACGTCAATTTGTGTCGTAAGCTACCCTTTTATGAATGATTTATAGAAACGGAAAAGGTAGCTTATAATGCTGGGATACAAAAAATTTATAATACTACATTGTGTAAATCCTTCATGAAAAGTAAAAACCTTAAATTAAGAAGGGAGCCTATTGAATGCTTAATAAATATTAACCGCTCGCTGAATCTCGAGAACTGTGGGTGGGTTACTCGCTATTTGCTGGGCGCCAAATATGTGGCGTGGCGCTCATCCTACCACGTATGTTGGACTCGTCAAAGAAAGCGAACATTCGCCGAGCACCTCGCCTATTTCGAAACGGGTGAGCAATCTCTCCTACTCGCAGAATGTACAATCTGTCGGACCGCTTAATGAAGAAAATAGAATCGTCAAACTCAGTTCAAAGTCGAAGTCGCAAGGCAAAGTACAAAAAATTAAAATTACAACGCGACAGTTTCGGAACTTGATTTTCTTGGCATGAGTCACAAGACAGATCCTATTGTCTCCTTCGAGTACTCTTTTTTCCTAAAAGTAGAGCGAATCGATAAGTGGACATGGAAAGAATTGATCTCATGTGTTATCGAAGGCAATATTTTAAAAGGTTTGGCCGCTAACAGGTGGCTAACAGGTGGTCCCTCTCGCCGTACTTCCCTCCTGTCTCCGTCGCGCAGCTGTCTCCTGGGCTACTCGGCCTTGTCCCGCTTAACACGGCAGCGCCCAGCAACAATGAAGTCCAAGTGGATTGGGAATCGCATTTAACTGAACCACCATCTTGTGCATCTAGTGAAGTCACAAAAAAATTAATAGCATAAAAACTTTCTCCGTGCAACAATACGTAGATACGGCAACTAGCATGGAGATCGGTCATTTGGTCACCTTCCTATGCCGTACTCTATGGTTCTACCGCACCGCTACTGGCCTCTGGCGAAATTTATTAGGAACCTGTCTCTTAGCGACAGGCGAAAAATAAAGATCGTGGTACATCTACCAGCAATATTAATAAAATCATTTATTTTCCGCATTTGCGTTGTATTAAACTACCAAAATCTGCAAGAATACTGCACCAAATCTTGAAGACGAGCCTGTAAGTTTTTCGTATCAATTCATACATTTCTTTTCGTCGATCGATGTCGATTACATGTCGTTGAATTCACTTTCATTTACACAGATTTTACTGTATTCTTACAAGTAAATTAAAGAAAAATTTGGAGTCGTTTTTTGGAAAATTTTAAAAATGTCCGGGGGTTTCAGGTAAAGTACCTCCACATTTTAAAGACTTTCTTTCAAAATCTCAAAAATTCGACTCGAGCCAGATTGAAAGGGGTTTCTTCGATTTGGAAAAATCCTACCTTATGGTTTAGGCGCTAGTAGTATTCACAAGCGGACGGACAGACGGACGTTTGGAAAAACACTACTTTTTCGGTATCAGGATATTTCCGTTGAAAACTCGAAATATATTTACCGCAGCATTACATAACTTTCCCTATACTACATATAATACTCTGTATATATGTACGTATATGGGAAAGGTGAAATGTATCTTCACATTATTGGAGTTGTAGAAAGACGCCAAAAAAAGTGTTTCTTTTTTTTTCAATTTTCGAAAAATCTGACTTTTTAACCAAAATGAGAATTGCGTCATTCTCTTAATCGTTCTTCAGGCTAAACAACAACAAAATTTAATCAAAATCGATGGCGCCTTTTTTTTAAAAATTATGAAAATGTTCCAAGGGCTTCATGTAAAGTACCCCCAATACTAAAATATCTATTTCAAATTCAAGGGGCCACGTCATTAGCCGAATCGAGTGGGGAATATCAATTTTGGAGAAAATCGACTTCACGGTTTAGCAAGCGTTGTTAACAGACAGACCGGCAAGCAGATGTTTAGCCGTCAATCGATTTTTTTGGTATCAACAAGCGATAAAAGTACATGTTATTTAAACTTTTATTAAGGTTAGTTCTAAATGCTATGAGATGACATAAACACCAAATTCCTCTATTCTTTTGTTTTTTCAAAAACTACAAATATGTAATTTTTGTCGTGTTTCTCACGTCGTTGATATTTATATTATCAGGAATTTGTTCACATTATTACCTTTATGAGTATATATGCTTGAAATAATGTCAGACAAAGTCTCTCGAACACTCAACATTTTCTGTGAAAACTAACTCATTATTTCGCATTTTCAAAAACGTTCAAATGCCATTTTCTCAAAAACTGCTCCAAATTTTGTCTTCAAACTTTTCGAGTAGATAGTGATAATTCCACTCTTTAATACAACATAAAGTTCATTTTGGGGTATTTTTTGTTTATTCTAAAATTATACAAATGTAATTTATTTGGAAGATCTCTCACGTCTTTAATATGGACATTTCCACCATTTTGTATACACTATTGTATTTATTAGTTAACGTGTTAAAAAGTATTAGTTAGTGCGTTAAATGACTTCTGATAAAGTTTTTCGAAAACTCAAAAAATTTACCGTGAAAAAGATCAAATTTTGAATTTACAGTAGCGCTTAAACGCTATTTTCATCAAAACAGATCCACGTTTTTGAAGGAAAATTGCCATTTAGGGAGAGAGTTTACTGTTCTTTAATATTCATAAAGTAACATTTCTGTTTTACTATTAGGAAACCCAAAAATTGAGAAAATTTAAAAAAAAAAAAAAAAAGTACTTTGAGCGGCTATAGACGGCGGCTGGCAAGAGTATGAGGCAAGCCGAATAGCTTGCCGAGACCAACGAAAATAAAAAAACGAATACGGGAAAGTCTGTGATATTTGTAGCACCACTAGTTCACTATTTTTTTTATTAGATAGTGTGAAGGGCGTTTAACTGAATGGTATGGGTCTCATGTTCTTTCAAAAAACCCTAATTATTCGAAAAATGCAAGCGGTCATATTTTTTTTTTGAGTCTTTCTACAACTACAATAATGAAGAGAGTTCCCCCCCTCAATGAAATCTGTTTCTTAAAAGATAGATTGTAAAATAAGGTCTTGTACAATTTTTCGAAAATTTGAGTACTACTTTTAGCGAAATTTTGTGATTTTTTTCAAAAAGATCTTGATATTCCCTATACTGTTTCCGCACCACTACTTATTTTTACTTTCTCGCGCTGATGCAGGAACTTCTTAAGAAGAGAAAGTTATGTAATGCTGCGAGAAAAAACGGTGAATTTTCGGCTGAAAAAATCTTAATTCAAGGCTTTGGTGACGAAAAAGTGGATAATTCCAGTTGTAAAATTCAGATTAAAAAATTATCTAATACGTGGTGTAGCTAGAAGCCATGCTTTGGCTCCTAGATACCGAAAAATTGATCGACAACAAACCGTCTGCCAGTCCGTCCATCTCAAAAACGCTAGCGACTAAAAAGTTCAGCCGTTTCTACTTATTTCAGTTTGTACGTAGTGATATACGAAGTATAGGGAAAGTTATGTAATGTTGCGAGAAAACCCGGCGGATTTTCGGCAGAAAATAATTCATTGACAGGCCCTGATAACGAAAGTGCATAAATCCAGTTGTTAAATTAAGGGGAGAAAAAGAATCTCTAACAAGAGGTGTAGCTAGAATCCCTGTGTTGTGGGTCTTTCATACTGAAAAACCAATTGACTGCAAAACGTCCGTCCGTCCGTCCGTCCGTCCGCGTAGCGTCTAAACGTACGATTTTTTTCTTCAAAATAAATATTCGATCTGGTTCCATTCAAGGCGCTGCGATTTTGAAAAACTTTCTTAAATATTGAGGGGTACTTTACATAGAGACCCCCGGACTTTTACAAAATTTTCTCAAAAACAGGTCTAATTTGTTTTCTTTGAATGTGCTGTAAGAATACAGTAAAATACACTTATAAAGACGATATAGGTCATATGTTCACAGTTAACACCGCATTTTCGAAAACTGCGAAATTTTGAATTTTTTGCGGCGTCTTATTACAAAATTGAAGATAGAAATTTTCCCTCCAAATAAAATTTGTTTTCCCTTATCAGATCTTGCATTAAGGTCATTTACTTTAAAAACTGGCAGTTTTCAAGCAATATTGCGTACAATATGGGAAATTTTAAAAAATTACAAAAACCAGGTTTTTGAAAAAGGGCTCCAAAATTTCTCTTTAAACTTTTGGTATGTACAGTGCTAAATGACTCTTTGATATGGTATAAACGCCATGTTGCTCTTTTCTTTTGTTTTTTTCAAAATTTACAACAATTTCATTTTTTGACTGGTCTCTCACGTTGTTTGTATTTACACTAGCAGCATTTTTTTCACATTATTATATTTATGAGTACTTGTGCTTCAATAGCATTACATTACATAACTTTCTCTCTACTCCATAGCGAGGAAGTAAAAACCAGGTATAAAATTTCACACTAAACAATGAAATCCTTCTTGAAAACAAGGGTGCATCTTATACACTAGCAAATAGATGTCAGCTTGGTTGTCTCCCAATAAATTCAGAGATATTCTCCTATAGAATTATAACACAATATTTAAATATTTGTTGTGAGGTTTGTCCAAAACTACTCCACCACTACCCAAGTCATATTTTTCAACACGAAATATCAGTATTTAGTGATGTAAGTCCTCACTAGTAAATTACCTTCATTCAATGTTAATGTCACAGAAACATGTTTTGGAATTATGTTGTTTTAAGCTAGAAGTTTTGATTTCTTTGTTACTGTTTTTAAATATCTAAAATAGAAACAACTGGATCTGATATTGGGGGGGGGG